CCCTATTGAAGTACGTAATGCTAATGCACCGGCTACTTGCAAGCATACCCAGTGAAAAGATATTTTTATTATTTATCTTTATTTTACCTAATCTAACCTTATCTAACATACTAAGTTTCTGATTTTTACATTTTAGTTACTTTTATAATAATAAATAAAGAATACACATAAAAACAGGAAATATAGTACTTACTTGGTTCTTTTTTTTATGCTGTCGATTTTTGATGAAACTTAACCCTACATTTGTATAATAATGGCACAACTGCATTGAATAATTTTTTTATTTAATTAAATGATGCACCTAAGAACAAAGAATAATAACGTGTAAAAGCTGACAATGTCCTATATCTATCATTATTTTTATGGCTTTCTAGTTATGAGATAAAAGCCATTAAAAATTCAGCTAAGCCCGTTGACGTGTTTCCCATGGTAACAAAATTTGAACTGGAACTCTGTAGAGAAAAACATAATATAATAAGTCATTTGATAGATTAAACTTTGGCTTTCTATTGGTTATAAATAATAGTGTTAAACCTCAGCGAGAACTATTTGCAATTTGTGAAAGAGAGGAAGTGATAGGTGAGTGTGGCAAGAGGGGTCTGATTTTCTAGTTTATGGCTCTGTAACCAAATACAATTAAAGGCTACAAACATTATGCTTTGCCTGAGTAATAATTATATTAAATTCTAGACTTCTTGAAGGCATGGTTAATAAATTAGAGAAGAGGGATGACCTACAGAGCAAATGTCATAATTCTCATACTAGGGGAGATTGAAGATTTTTCAAAATATTTTCTTATAAAATTGAGAACTTAAAACTTATATAATATTAAAATCTGAATTATTATCTATGTTTTGATACCAAGGTTATTTCTATACCATAGTAATAAAGTGGTTTAATTAAATTTTGAACGTAACTCAATAAAACCTTGTGACATGCACAGAAAAGGGTACCCATGTGGAAAGGGTTTAGAATACTGACCTTCTAGTTGCAATTAAGTTGAAGTGCAGGTGGTGTCAGTGTTTGATCCTTTCTGGGAGTTACACTACAGAACTTTAAAACATACAGTTCTCATATTTCTTGAATATAAGATCATGCAAATCACAAAACTTAATCATTTTGAAGAAAGGGATATCTGTAGTGTTAACCATGTTGTTAAAAAAAAAGGTGAAAAGTGTGATTCTAAGAAGCTACTCCTTGACCATCTACCAGTTGTACATCAGAGGTAGTGAAGAAAGTTAAACAGCTTGACACTGCAAATAAGTTGATTCTCATGTATTTATGTCTACAGTCCTGTTCACAAGTTTCTCCCAAAGTTCAAAGCTGAATGGAAGACCAGCTATTGAGAGCTGTTATGAGTGATATACATGTGAGAGAAAATGTTTTAATATTGAATATGTCTGCAAAAGTCCAGGAAAATCATTATCATCCTGCTGATGATACAAAATTTCAAAATGTTACCAAGAATGTTTCAGAAATTTTCTCAAGGGATTTATGGTAGTTGCAGGTTACATGTATGATGATAAATTTAACGTTTAGTGAACTTAACAAAATGCCAAGATCAATTCTGATTTTATCAGACTAACATGCTGACACCACTGTACAGACTAGATGCCATCATGTATGGCTCCATCAAGACAAAGCATTTATCAATATGTCCAATTTAACATGCCAGTTTCTTCACAAGCTGCAAGTGCAAATGTCTACATTACTGCACTGTGATAGATATATCATTTTTTTTTTTATAGGACTAGATGTCAATAAGGTATGGTTCCATCAAACATTTGGCATTCATCCAAGTCAGTGTACCAGTTCACATACAAGGTGCAAGTTCTAAAGGCAATTCACACTAAACTACTCATGAATATCTCCCATGGAGATACCTTTGGGTTGGAAAATGGGCCCTAAGAAGTCATCATCTAATGGATTCTGGAAAGAGTATAGAGAGGAGTGGAACAATACTGACCTCAGTGTATTGTGCAAAAGCCTCTTGCAGTAGAAAGTATGCTGCAGAGTAGAAGACCATCACCAAGGCAATCAAACAAAATACAGCCATTAGTGGAAGAAGGAGCTAAAAAGCCTAGATACAATCACCTTGTATCATGAGCATTCCACTGTAAAAGTTCAAACCAGTATCTTAAAATAACATAATCATGTTAAAAGTTATAACTTCTCTAAATTAATATTAAATTCCATGTTAACCCGATGACCACCGACTACTAACTATCTGAGCAGCCAATGTAAGTCTTGCTATATTTCATTCCAACAATAAAACTAGTGGATGAAATTGTTTGAAACTTCAAAAGAACTTTCATAAATACATGTAGTTTAACTTAACATAAAGCCTGTTACTTTGATAAATTTAGTTATTTTGCATTATGATCTTTAGTATATTGGAAAATTACATTAGGAAA